GCCACCAGAGAGGGCCAAGGCTTTCTTAATTTTAAAGAAGAAAGTAATCATGGATTAAATAATGTTGTTGGATATACAGTCTTTCAAAAACTGATGTCTACAGGCCCAAAAATATGATGGGATTGAAGAAAAAGCTGATAATTAATGCTGGTGTACATTTGGCGCATTTCTCCTAGTAAAAGAGAATACAAAGACAGAAGCTAACTGTCTTCCCAGAGCTTGGGAGATCTTCTCTACATGCGAGTTGTTTGCTTATTCTATAAAGTAATAATTGATTTTTTCTTTAAGCTAGAGCTTCCTATTGACATTTCTTCCATCTACAATGGACACTAGGCAGACATGCTTTTTGCAATGGTTCGTGCCTCAGAGAAGCTGGGCTAGCTTGGCCACGGTCTGACCACCTGGAAGGATTCTCTGCTGCCTCAGATAGAGAGCTTCAACAGTGAGCACTCAAGGCCGTGCACCAGGTCTCCAGGGAAGCGGTAGCCACGGCAGTGCTACTTCCTATGCCGATTGCATTTTGGCCGGGAACACTTGTTTTATGTGCCAAAGAACGAACGTTGTCAACAAGAAAATCTGTTCACCAGCAACCTCAAGAGCTCACGGGCCAGGGCCAGTGGAGGCACATGCTGTCATGTGCTAAAAGTGAGGAAACCACTCGAGTGCTGTGCACGGTGTCTGCACCACATAAGAACCTGCTACTTTTCAGTGTTGAGACTTTGCAAACCATGCGATAAGGAAATCATGTTTCTCAGCTATGCTGTCATAGACTTCGTAGCGTGATTTTAAAAACGTCGATTCTGTCTGTGCCCCCTTTTATACCATGAGTCTGAAACTTTTGAAGTCTCCGTTCCCCCTACTTCCTCCTTGAAAAAGGTATATGTCAATACAACCTACATAGGACTGTTAAAGCTTCACTTTATCCACTTGAAACAAAACTGAATAATTCAGACTTTAGATAAGCTGTCAACATGGGCTCTGGCTTAATAATATTGAACTGCTTTATAGCAACCGCATTGAGGCCAGTTGGCTACATCAAATGCAAGTTGCTCCCACAGTGACCCCACTGAGGTGCAGCCCAGGGAGTCACAGATTCTCAGAGGGCTGCTCTATAACCACCAAGCTGCCGATATACCTCAAAGTCTCTCCATGGCAGGCATTTCACTGGTTTATGCCCTCGTGATCCGGAAATACATGCAAATATATGGCTTTGCGTGAAACGGGAAGGCAGTGTGATATAGTGGAAAGATCACAGACATTACAGAACAGTACATTTTCATTTTAAAGCCAGGGTTCAGCAATTCCCAAATATTAGGAATGAGTTAACGCATGTGTAAAATGGAGATGATAACACTCACTTTGAAGAACCATTAACGTGGATACCTGTTTGTATCTATGGCCAAGTAAAGGAATAATGGTACAAAGTACATGCTCAGTGTTGGCTCTTCACCATCCTCATCTTACGACCCCTCATCCTCACTACAGCAGCATCTAGCATGGAACCCTAAGGAGAAGAAAAGGGTACTACCACTCCTTGGGGTTCAGAGTTCAGTCATGTCCTCAAGGTCACACAACTAGAGAACAGCAGAACAAGTATCTGAACTTGGATCTAATTCCATAGCCCGGTTTCTTGCCTCATAAACTGCTACATTTTCTTGTGTGTACCTAGCCCAGAAGAAATCGATGATTTGATAGTCTTGGTGATTCAGGTTGCTTTGGAAAAAGTCAGTCCTGGAAGACTAATCATATTGAACTATATAAAAGCTATGCACAGGCTGAGTCAGCTTCATGCAGACCTAAAAGCACGTCAATGAAAAGCAGTCCGTTTCAAACTGTAAATGAACAACTGTAGTAAGATCTAGAATGACCTGCTGGCAGATCAAAATGGATTACACTGGAGCAAGTCTCATCTGTCTCAGCTTCCCAGAATTCCAAGGAGCTCTCAGCACACAAGAGGAGCAGAAATTCAGCCCCCAATCCAGAAAACTCAGTGTTGGGTTGATGTTCCTGAGGGTCTCCTTCCTCCCCAGGACCCTCCCAGGTGACCAAGGCCTCCTGGTTAACCAGGAAATCTGGGGAAGAGAGAAAGCTGTTGGGGCAGGATCACGTCTCTGCTCCATCCCTGTCCCTGTGCCGAGCCCGGGGCCAGACTCTAGTCCCCTTTGTCTCCGAGATCACTTCATGTTAGCAGACCTACACCTGCTGTCTTCCAGAATGCTGAGCACCTTGATGGGATCCTGCACAGGTGAGGGGACAGTTCCTTGTGGGTGAAAATGCAGGTGTATCTACTCAGAGACAGACCTCAGGAAAACGGCTCCGGCCCAGGGATGCTGGACCCCAGCATTAGGGATCCCAGCTTGGGGACGCGCCCCCTTCCCACCTCACTCTCGTGCCCCACGGGCCCAGGAGCATCACACATGCCCACCTGCAAGGGACTATGTGGCTTTGGACAGTGGGAGCAGCAGGGGCAACCTCAAATGACTGAAGGCCTCACCAAGGCCCCATCTTGGGCAACTCTCGGAAGAGGAGAAGCCCTACTAGTGAATGGGATGGACCTTTCCTTCACCTCAGTGGGATGCAAGGAAGATGCAGATTTAAGCAGTCCCCTCTGAGCAACCCGCCCCAAGACACACACCACACAGACGACACAGCAGACGAGTGCACACGCTCTTTATTACTGGTTAGAATCGGAACACTGACAAAGGGTGAGCCCGGTGAGCTGGGATCTCATGGGGGGAACTCAAGGGTGCTTTTGTCCAGACAGGAGGCAGATCTAACCTCCCAGCCCCTGGCAAAGGTGAGTCTGCAGCGAACACACCAAGTGGAAGAGACGGCCCAGAGAAGCCTCTAGAGCGCGTGTCCCAGTCCAGTTCTATTTTTAGCCCACCAGGGCTCCCAAGAGAAGCCCTGTCCACAGTGCGATGGAGTCCATTTTGCTCTTTGTGCACTCTTGACTGCAAAGGGACTTGAGAAGGCGGTGGCCGGAAGCTTGAATGTGGCTATCACTCCCACGGGCGCTGTCCCTCAAAACAACCCAGTGGTCTTGCAGGCAGTGGATGTCAGCTGTCCTACTAGAGGGAGGAAATTAGCAGAGTGACAGAAAAGTCCCTGCCCTCTTGTGAGGCCACTTCCCGGGTCTTTGCCACTGCCTGCTTGTCTCACCCGGGTCTCATGAGGGGAGCAAAACTGCTCCTCAAACTGCAAAAAATAATTGGATGTTATTTCAATCGTTTACACAAAAGCCATACTGCATACACGATAAGGTCACTCTTGCTAGAATTTATATTCCAAATAAGGCTCGCCCCAAGTCTGACCAGACTCACCAAATCAGGTTATAATGTGTACACCAGATAATACAAGTCTAGCTCCCAACACATACTAGATAAATAGCTATTTAATGAATAAATTGAAGCTCATCCAATTTGTTGTAATCTACAGAATTTACCACTGTGGTCTCCAACTCCTACAAATTACTTGTATCAACAGAGAGATTCTATCAAAATTATTTTGCCTTCTCTGCCCCCCCCCCCGACCTGATGCATGCTAAAGCATCTCTTCTTCCCCAACTTCCTCTCACTTTTCTCAGCTCAAGACTTGGGAGAGTGAGGTGAGGGGGACAGGGGCTCTCACTGAGGTGTGGCTCAGTCAGAACTGAGCTGTGATTTCCTTAGGCTCTTGAGAGATCTTCCAATGAAACAGGTTCAGCTTGGGTGGAGCTCAGAGACATAAAAACAAGCCCTCACCTGTAAAACTTAAAAAAATACAAGTAAATATAAACAATGTTGTAGCTTACAAAAGGATAATAGCATTTTCAAGGAAAAGGATGCTCCTAAATTCAATACAGCTTATAGCTCTAACAATACGTGGCTGTTCCCAGCCAAAGACACGGTGTTTTCAGGGAAAGGTGGTTAATAAGAAAGCAGAAAACAACTTTTCAAAAAAAATCTTCACGACTTTGGCTTCTCCAAGGTTTCACCCATTCAGCACCAGTCATCCAGGTTCCACCACCTGTGAACGAAAATGTAATCAGAAGTAAAGTCTATGTAAAGTGTCAGGGGATACTCAAAACAGTCCCTCTGTTCAAATGAAAAAGATAACTAATAGAAACACATATAGACTTGTGTATGTACATGTACACCACATTGCTGAAAAGTTATTCGCTTAGGTAATGGGATGATGGATTATTTCATTTAATTTTGTTTATAATTTTGATATCAAACTTCTGTGAAGTAAATGGGTTATTTTTTAATCTGAAGGGGAAGAGGTCTTAAAAGATTGGTTTCTCTTACCTTCCTCACATTCCAGAGCTTGTCTTGGCTCAGGGTGTCCACCCTCAGCTGCCATGTAGAACTTCTTGCATCTATAGCAGGTTTTGCGCCATGGAAAATTCAAGGCCTTACACCCCCGGCAGCTCCAATCCACTGGCCTGCTGCCTGATGCAGGCTTCTCACCAAGCTGGGAATCTGAGGCTTTTTCTCCTTCTGGTTGCTTAGCCTTTTCTCCATGAGCCTGCTGTTCCTTTGGCTTTCCTCTCACAGCCTGGCTATACCCCTGGAGGGTTGCCTGGGGCCTGTGTGGACCTTTTTTCTCAGTGTGGCTTTTGCCATACTCTAGGGAAGCCACCTGCTTGGGCCTCTCTGCACCTTCTTCCTGACTTTGGCTTCTGTCTTGTGGCCTCTCCAGATCTTCCTCCTGCCTTTGGCTCTTGTTCTTTCCCAGGTAGAGCAAGCTCTGGGATTTTTCTGGATCCTCTTCTTGGCTCTGTTTTCCATTGTCCCCCAGGGGGATCATTCTTGGGGTTTTCTCTGGACCTTCTGCCTGACTAAGGCTCCTGCTAACCCACGGGAAAACTGGCATCTGGAGACTCTCTGGACCTTGTGCCTGGCTATGGCGATTGCTATTGTCTGGGATGAACACCCCCTGGGTTGCTTCTAGATTTTCTTGGCTTTGGCTGTTGATGTCCCTTGGGGGGACTGTAACCTGGAGAATATCAGGGCCTCCCTCCTGATGGTAGCTCCTCTCGCTCCCGAGGGCCATGTTATTCTGGAAACCTACTGTCCCCCATGGGGGAGAGGGGTAGAGTCCCAGAGGCGGTATCAGAAATGGGACCACTGAGGCTTCTGTGTCCATGGCTATCGGTATTGGTGGTGGCGGTGGTGGCGGTGGTGGCGGCAGTGGCGGTGGTAGCGGTGGTAGCGGTGGTGGAGGTGGTGGCGGTGGTGGTGGTGGCGGCGGCGGCGGTGGTGGTGGCGGCGGCGGCGGTGGCGGAGGTGGTGGTGGCATAGGAGGCAAGAATGAAAATTCCATTGGGACTGGTGGGTGAAATTGATATGGCACTGGCATTGGCATAAGGGGTGGCACGGCTTGGGCCCAGTGACCCGGTGGTCCTGGCATGTAAAACATAGAGGAAGGGACCAGAGATGGGGCAGGTGCCGGCAAAGGGATCCCCACAGGCAGCCCATCATGTTGCTGCTCTGCGTTCTGAGGCCACGCGGAAGCCTCAAGCTGCTCCGCTGGAGGGCCAGCCACCAAATTACCAGCCACCGTGGTCACGTGGGTGGAACTCTGGGCCTGGAGCAGTTGCCCATACAAAACATTGTGCTCATTCAGGATCTGCTGCAGGGTGACCCACATGAAATGCAACTGAGTGGCCGCCTCCTGACGCTCTTCTCGCAGCCGCTGCAGCTCCGAGGCCAGAGCCCAGGAAGTCGCCTCACACTTTTCTACCTGCTCCTGTAGCTGCCGGATCCTGCAGGCCTGCTGCTCACGCTGCCTGGCGCCCACGCGCACGCTCAAAGCCAGCGCGCTCCAGGCGCAGGCCCTCTTGAGGGTGCGCGGCACCTGCGGGTTGGCCACCACCGCCCGGAGCCGATCCTCTATTTCGTTCCAGGGCCGCGAGCGTAAGGCCAAGTAGAAATCTGGGCCCCCACCGTTCATGATGACTTCGTTGTTAATGAACCTGATCACCTCGACGTGGCGGAACCCACTGGCGAGGTCGCTAAATTCCACGGCCATAGTTGGGCCTAAATCAAACAACGGACACACCGCCTTGTGAGGAAACCTGCCAACTGCCGCCAATGGTCAGAGCAGCGGCTGCCCAAAGGTCAGCCACTCACCTCCCTCCTCAGTCCAGTTCAGTCCTCGCCCAGTCCTGACCACCTTTTTGTTCACTTTCCTCCCTCAATCCCTTCTTTTTCCTCAGAGAAGAAGAGCAAAGCTGATCTCTGGCTTTACCAGACACCAACTGTCAGCAACCTACGTCGACGTGACACGTCACAGAGGTGAATGCTGAGTCAAGCCGCTAGGCATGCTGGGACCAACGCTTGTCTGGCACAGCGGCACCTACAGGACAGGCAGACTGGATGGCAGCGCTGTGTACTAAATCGAGCTTTTAGAAACATTGTTTCTAAGAGCTTCCAAAGGAGAATGTCCAACACTGTGGAATGAATTCCTAGTCGGATAGTGGAGTTGCATAGGTGGGTGTGATTCTATTCTTGTCTGAGTTCTGCCTCCTAAAACTCTGATACTACAAATTGTCAATGCAGTCAGTCATACTGCCACATGCTTCACTCCTTATCCTTAATAGACAGGAACTTGGAGTCCTGTCATCAAGAAATCCAATGATGGATTCCAAGAAATACAGTCATGAATTCCCTGTATTCTAAATTCACTCTCATGTTTACCTGCACAACTCTGTTCTCAGGCGGTATCTCTTCTTTTAGACTAAATGGTCTCATCATCTTTGTTATTTTTGGTCTGTGTTTCTGGCTCCTGTAGATGGGAACTGGAGTACTTACAAAGACAGTAGCAGTAGTTACAGAGGTAAATACAAAATGATTTAAAAGATGACTGCATAAAACAATCCAAATCTTTCTTCATAGGTACACAGTGTCTAAAGATGTAATTTGTGGCAATAACATAAGGGAATTGTGGAGCTATATAGGAGCAAAGACTTTGTATATGATTGAAATTAAGTTTCTATTAATTGAAAAATATATTGTTGGGGCCCTCCCTGGTGGTGCATTGTGTTAAGGCAGCACTATGCCAATAGAAATCTCAATGAAGCCATCTATCCACAACCACTGTAGCATAAGATCAATCCCCAGCCAGAGAGCTGACCCTCACACACACACATACGGTACAGCAGACCTCTCCTGACCTGCCCGCTGCTCCCCTCAGCAGTGTATTTCAGTCATTCTGCCTGTTCTGCTCCCCACTCTGTCTCTGGTGAATCCTCTCACACATACACCCACACCTCAGGCCTGCACCCCCAGGTCTTATATGCACAAATAAATAAATCTTTAAAAAATACATTGTTATAAATTAATGTGTTAATTATGATGCCCAGAGCAACCACTAAGAAAATAGCTAAAAAAAAATACAGAGAAGGAAATGAGAAAGAAATAAAAATAATACACTTCAAAAAAGAAATCAATAAAACACAAAACTAGATAGTAATGGAGAAATTGGGGGAGATATAAAACATATTAGAAAACAAAAAGCAAAATATTCAAAGTCCTTATATTACATTGTAATATATTACATTAAATGAAGTCCTTGTATTACATTAAATGAAAATAATCTTCAATTAACAGGAATTGGCACAATGATCATTTTAAATATATACACACCTTATAAACACCTTCTAACAGAGCCCCCCAAAATATGCCAGTAAGTAGAATTGAGGGGAAGCAGAGGCCATTCTACAGTATTAGTCTGAGATTTTAGTACTTCATTTTTAACAATTGTTAGACTTGACAGAAGTTCAATAAAGAAATAAGAATTTCAAAACACTATAAACAAATAGATCTAACAAATATATATAGAACATCCAATGCTGAAATAGCATATTACAAATTCTTTTCACATATGTATGAAAGATACTGAAGGACAGACCGTGTATCAGAACACAAAACAAGCCTAATACACTTACAAAGATTGAAACCATACTATCTATGTCCTATGACCATCATGAAATGAGAGTTCAATAACGGAAGCACATTGACAGAACATAAAAATATGTGAAAATGAAACACTACTAAATAAATACTGGTGGATCAAAGAAGAAAAATAATCATAAGGGAAAGATATTGTAATTAATGAAAACTGAAAGAATATACCAAAGCTAATAGGATTCTGTGAAAGTAGTGCTCAAAGGGAAATTTTTAGGTACAAATGCCTGTATCAATAAAAAAAAGTCAATACTCACCTTAAGGAATTAGAAAAAGACAAAACTGAACCCAGGGAAAGCAGAAGAAAGGAAATGATCAAAATTAGAGTAAACAAAATAAAGAATAGAAGAAATTAAAATTTGTTTCTTTGGAAAGCTGGACAACATTGATAAACTTGTAAATAGACTGATCAAGGAAAAAAGAAAGATAAAAGTTATTAAAATCTGGAATGAAAGAAGGACATTTACTACTGAATTTACAGAAATAACAAGGATGATGAGAGAATACTACAAACTATTATATGCCAGTAGATTAGATATCTACATGAAATAGACAAATTCCTAGAAACATATAAACTATCGAAATGGATTTAAGAAGGAACAGAAAATCTAAATAAACCAATCAGAATTACAGAGATTAAACCAGTAATCAACAACCCGCCAACACAGAAAAGTCCAGGATCAAACAACTTCTTCACTGGAGAAAGTTGCCAAATTTTTGATGAATTATTTTTTTCTATTCTCTATTTTATTTATTCTATTTTTTTATAATTTCCTTTCTTCTCTTCACCCTGGGTTTAGTTTTGTCTCCTTTTTCTAATTCCTTAAGGAGGATAGTGAAATTAATAAATCTTCACCATATTTCTAAAAACACAAGAGGGAAAACTTTCTAATTCATTATATGAAACTAATATCACCAAACCCAAAGATATCATAAGAATAGAAAACTATAGACCTTACAAATATAGATGTAAGACTTCTTGACCAAATACAATCAAATGGAATCCAGCAACATATTGAAAGGACTATAAGACACAAGGAAATGGGGCTTATCCCAGGAGAACAAAGTCATCTTAATAAGTGAAAAACAATCATTGTAATCTATACTATAGTATTAGAATGTAAGGGGAAAACCCACGTAATCATTGAACAGATTTTTGAAAAAGTGCAATTCTTGTGAAAGAGAATAAATGCAAACAAAACTGCCTCAACATGACAAAGAGAATTTATCAAACATTATACTCAATGATGAAAGACTGAGAGCTTCCTCCCTAAGATCAGTGACAAACAAAAATGTTGCCCTTGTCATTGTTAATCCAGTATTGTCCTGGAATTTCTAGCCAAAGTAATTAGACCAGAAAAAGAAATAAATGACCAAATTAGGAAGGAATAAGTAAAACTATCTCTATAGAAAACATAATTTTATATAGAGAAAGCCCCAATGAATCTACAAGAAAGATAATAAAAGTAATAAATTCAGCAAAGTGGCAGGGTACAGGACCAAAATGCAAAAAAAAACTGATATTTCTGTGCATTAACAACAAACAACTCCATTTCCAGAAAATTAATAATTCTATTTGTAATAGCACCAGTAGAGTAATATTTTTAGGAATAAAGTTAACCAAAGAGGTAATAGGGGTATATACACATTGAAAATTTTAAAGCATCGCTGAAAGTAGTTAAAGAAACCTAACTAAATGAAAAACTATCATGTATTCACAAATTGGAAGATGATACAGTGTTAAAATGGCAATACTTTCCAGAAAGTACTACAGACCCAGTGCAATCCCTCTTAAAACACAATTTTTTTTTACAGAGTATAAAAGCTGATCCTAAAATGAATATAGAATTGCGATGGCCCTGACAACGAACAGTCTTTTAAAAGAGGAATAAAACTGGATTCATACTTCCTGATTTCAAAACTTTGTACAAGATTATAGTATCAAAACAGAGCAATAATGGCCAGAAAGATAAAGCTAGATATACAGACCAGAGAGAGAGAGTTGAGAGTCAAGAAGCAAAACTTTGAATCAATGGTCAATTGGTTTTTGATAATCACTTAATGAGGAAGGAATAATCTTTACCTCAGTCCATATATAGTTTTTTAAATATTTATTTATGCATACAAGAACTGGAGTACAGGCCAGAGGTGTGGGAGGTGAGAGGATTCACCAGAGACGGAGAGGGGAGCAGAACAAGCCGATGTACTTAAATACACTGCTGAGGGGAGCAGGGGTCAGAAGCCTGCCACACCGTGTGGGTCAGCTTCTAGGCTGGGAATCAAACTCGTGCTGTACTGGCTCAGACAGCTTCATAATGCTGTGCTTTAACCTGTTGTGCCACTAGGGAGGGCCCCATATATAAAAATTAACTCGATTTTTGTTTGTTGTTGCTGTTTGTTTTAGGTTGTTGTATTAGTTACTTTCCTAAATGAATTTTGTGATCACTGACATCTGTGTGCTATTAGCTGAGTGGTGAGCAGATATGTTGACATAGTGCCAGAAAACACCTGAAGTCCCCAATTTTTAAAAAAGAATTTTCCAAACTCCCCCACTCTTTGATGATAGCCTCTGCCTTGGGACATGCCTTCCTACTTAGGCCATTTGTAACATTCACTGCTGTCACCTTTACTTCCTGCTTATGCAGAGCTTGGCGGTCAGCCAGAGTTGAATGTTAAGGGCTGTCTCTGAAGATTAGGCCTTCTCTGAACATGCATCCAGTTTGGAGCACATGCATGACCTCAAGTCCCAGATTTACTCAGGAGCTTTTAAAAGTCTTCATTTCCTCCCTCCCCTTGGGCCCCCTATTCCATTCCTCCTTTCCCAAACTCTTTCTTCCTCAGATTTTTGATTTGTCTCTTGCTTGCCCTAATTTGCTATTCCTCCCCCAGCCTGCCAGGGTCAGTATTTTTGCTTTTAACTGCCTTTGGCAAATGCCATCTGGGCAGCTGCCCTAGAAGACATGGGAATGTTGTCAGTTGGGTGTCACCTCCTGCAGCCACTAGAAAGATTGAAATATACAACCAGTTCTTTGAGAATAAGGGCCATATTAGTCTCTCAGGTCC